TGGAAAGAGGAACGGAGCCCCCCCCCCGCCGCCGCCGCCCCTTGACTTGCAAAACACGTCCGAGGCCAGACAAGGGAGCCGATTTATGGGAGAGCAAGGGAAGCAGCGCCCCCGGGAGATTCCCAGGGCGTTAGGAAGGAGGGGGGGCATTTCTCTGCTTAGGAGGCGAGAGAGAGTTGAACTCCTCGTTCCAGAAGCAGTCTACCTTGCTGTTTTGCGCCATCTCAGCCGCTTCCCTACGAATGAGTGGCTTCTAAAAGGTCCCGTCCTTAACAGCACCTGCTCAGGTCTTGCAAAGTCAAAAGTCGTGGTTTCTTTAGGAAGTCAGTCCCTCGAACCCTTCCCCCGCCTCCTTTCCTACGCCCTCCCCCTCCCGCCGCTTTTTTTCTAGAATGATGGTCTTTTGCTCAGTGAAGCCAACCTTTTCTACCCCTCCAAGTTACTTTTGCCAGGCCGTTTCCTATCCCAGCCTCCCTCAGTTCGTTCCCAGAATCCAGTACTGGTCACGTCGGCGGGGCCCTTCTGGAAACTGGCTGGTGGATTATGGGCGTTGGAGTCCAGGCCCAGATCCATGCCTGAAACTGGTCCATCCCAGCTCCAGTCTGTTTGTGGCCAAGGTGGGGGCAGCCGATGGATGTACTCGCGAGTAAGCAGAGATGGCAGAGCAGTGTCCTTCCAAGAGCGTCTTTCTTGTGAGTGACCCGGGCTAGGAGAGAGCGGGATCATCTGGTGGGGCTTCCCCCACCCCCGCTACACCTCTCCTTGCGAGTAACACCCCACATCCCAACGACAGGGATGCAAGCAGATAAGGGGAGGGAGAAGGGTGGGTAGGGCCCCCAAGACACGTGTTGCAGAATCCGAGCGGGGAGGGGGGCAATATGGTTTGCAACCAGACGTGTTTGTGCCTCCGCGTGTCCTGCGGAGGTCAAGTCCGGATCTCCCGGTAAAGCTGGCCCGGGTTCTGACGACGCGGCTGGGCCTGAATCTGTTTCCCGTCCTCCGAGTCGAACATGATCAAGGGCTCCGCTGAGGAGCGGCAAGTCCAGCCAACCCTTGGGTAAATCCCCTTAAGCCGACGAGTCTACTCTAATCGGAAACCGCTGCAAAATCGATTGAGAAACGCTTCTCTCCTCGTGATGATGATGATGATGATGACAGTAATTGCGTGAAACCTAACATGTGAGGACGAGAGAGTCCAAGAAGCTCTTCCAGAAACTCAGACCTCGGGTGCGGAGGGAGGGACGTGGCTGACATGGAAGAGCCCCCTGATCTTCGCGGCTGACAATGAACTTGAGCCGGCGGCCTCC